GGACCAGAGGTTTCTGCCAAAAAAGACAGACAAGAGATGGAATGGGAAGTAAAGTCTGTGTGTACCTTATGTGACATGTTACTGGAAGGGAGAGAGTTTTGAAGATGAGGCGACCCGGTTTTTCGTCCTGTTTTGGGACACCATTTCGGTAAACCGGGGAGGTTACACAGTCTACGAGGAAACCAGAGAGGCACATAGTTTTTTGGACTGACTCTTCTGACTTGTGCTTGACTGAAGTTTGTGCGCCCCCCTTCATCTCCTCGTCGGGACGGTGTGACGTGATGAGATTGTGGCTGTGGGTTTTGGAGAGAGAGAGAGAGAGGGAGAGAGAAAGATCAGACTGAAGTTTTTGCAAACTCTTGCCTGAAAAGGCAATTGGATGTAAGATTTGTCGAGTTCTCTCTGTCAAGGTATCCGTACGGAGCACAGCTAAACAGCCGTGGATCCGAGGGTTATGGGACGTTGCTCACTGTCCGAGCACAAGGGGAAAACGGATCTGCGAATCTTTCTAACTTCTTCTGTCCTTTTTCTCTCTCTCCGGATTTTCCTACACCCCCCGTTGCCCCGTGCCCCCCTTGGATGTACGGAGTAGGCAGACCACGCATGTTTGGCGATCTGATCACCGATTCTGCGACTGCAACCCACGTACCTTACTCATGTACCTACATACCTTTCTACCTGCCTGTCTTTCCTGGCCGGCGGAAGAGAAGATGAGAGGAAGAAGAAAACAAAAAAACATACAACACCAGGGATTCGCTGATCGTCACCGACTCAACTACTAGTCTGGCCCTCATCGGCTTGTCTATGGGAGAGCGGACGGGATCCCGAATTTTCCGATGGGTATGGTCGTATGTGTTTGTTTACGAGAAAGAAGTTCATGATGTTGTGTGGGAGCGGGCATAGCTTGTCGGTAGTGATGACAATTTGATTTCATGGTGCTCACGCCATGCCCGAAGCTCGCGGTCAACTCTATCTAGCACTTATAGAGAAGCATAGAAAGATCTGAATGCCACAAGAGCCTCAAACTCCCCTCATCTCGGGCCGTCTATAGTAATAAACTCCTCTCTACCCTGATTCCGCCGGATCTAGAATTGAAGAAGAGTCTCCGCCGGAAGTCAGGTATAATCTCCGACGCCGTCGTCGGGAAAACCTTCAAAGAGGTCGGAAATCGGTGATAATTAGCTCACCTAGCACATTGATGCTAAGATAAGTATGTAAATGGGTAATTTCCACCTCTTTTCCGCCTCTCACACCATCCTCTAGAGCTTCGTGAACTACACTTAACATGCATACTCTACAACCTTCCTCGCAGCTTTCTTTTATCCCCAAGTTGGGATGGATAGGCATGTATATCCTTTTCCAACCGTAAACGCCATCTTCAACTTCATCTGTTAATTTCTCATCAGGTCTGGGTTCCATGGGCCTTCACATGGCTTCCAACTTGCAAAAGTATCTATCTAAGAAGCAAGAACCAAATCTTCGCTTTTACAATCGTACCATGTCTCGCGGTGCACCTCTGAAGGAACTCGGTGGAACGCCATCAAACATTACCGAAGTAGTGTCTAACTCGGACATTGTATTCATGTCTCTGGCGGACGATTCAGCAGTGGCATCTGTGCTTGATACGATTCTCGAGGTTGATCATCTTGAGAGCAAGATCATAGTGGACACCTCGACGATACACCCTTCCTCTTCGGCAACGGCTAGGTCCAGACTCCAAGAGAGAGGAGCAGACTACGTCGCCTCTCCTGTTGTCGGAGCCAGTCCCCTTGCTGCCAGTGCACAGCTGCTGTGGATAATGGCTGGCAAGGAGACATCCATTGATATCGCGAGACCTTACATTACCGGTGTCATGGGGAAAAGTATCATTCCCACAGGCGAAGACGTTCGTCAGGCGAGCTACCTAAAGGCTGCAGCGTAAGAAGAAGAGAAAAACCTGGCATGAACGATCTACCTTTGAAGGAATACACAATGCTGATGAAAACTGAATATGTCTAGGAACTCTGTCGATAGGTATGGTCGAGGTGGTTGGTGTAGCCCATACTCTTATTGAGAAAGCTGGATTAGGGGTCGGAACCGCGGAAGCGTTGATCAAGGAGCAGATTGGCCCGGTCGGGCTAATGGTATCTAATCGGCTGACTTCTGGGGCTTATATGCCTCCTCGAGGCGAGCGACCGTGGTCCCCGGCTATCAATGGACTGGCAGCGGGAAGACAAGCCTTGAAGAGCGACCCTCAGCCAAGATTGCTGTCGCTCGTCTTACAGCAGTTGGAGGAAGCGGTAGAGTACGCTGAAGGAATAGATCGAGAGATTGATGCGTCTGCAATCTATGGGATCATCAGGAAGGATGCGGGACTGTCTTTCGAGACTGAGCAGGTCAAAAAAAGGGACGGCGCTATTTGAGCAATCCTTATCGTACATATCTATCGTCGAAGGAGAGTAGAATGCCGCATCTGTCTCTATAGTAGGACAGTGGCTTGATAGATTAGAACCTTCTTTTCTAAAGGTATCTAAATCATTTTGCGCATGTCAGTCGGTCGATCAATTCTGCACAACTCATCTGCCATGCGTTGGAGTCGCGAGGTGCGTAACCTCCAAAAATCCATTCGCACAGCAACAGTGGCATAAATTTGCAGAAACCAGGCAACCCGGCTGCCGAGTATACGTACAATACTGTAGACAGTAATATGCCGTGCTTTTCCGGCTGTTGTGACAACAGCATCAGCCGCAACTCCAATCGACCCGGGACCGGCCAACATGAAAACTTGCGGCTCATCCAATGAATGGTCCAGCTTCTTCTCGGCAAGTGCCCGGCTCTGCCGTGGAGACGACGGAGTCTTGGACCGGAGTTCTCACCACTGAGGCTCTGAGGTCTAGGTTTCTGATCCTCGTCTCACGCCCCAGGGAGTGGGGTGAAGGGGAGACGGGACAGGATGAACTTTCTGAAACATAGCTTGATGCCACGCCGTGGAGCCAATCGGCGCATGCTTTTTGCCCTTGCTTGCGTTCTTCATTTGTTCCCAACTCCAAACCAACTCCATCTTCCAGTCTCCCCGTCTCCCGCCCATGGCTCCTTCGTGCTAGTGAATCAACTTCATCACCTGTCCGCACGTTCCCTTGAAACAAGGCCAGCAGCCCCCTTCACGTCATGTGGGCCCCTCGACGCTCTGGCCTCACTCTCTCGACGACACTATTGTATCCTCGTCGGGTTGTGCCGGCCCCAGTCCTCTCTACGGATACACAGGTCACCCTCACCGGCAGTCATTGTCAGATTTACCAAAGTTAAGCAAAACCAACCAAAAAATAGATGGGCAGATGCAGGTGCCAAGTTGGATACAACACACCGCACGACAATCCGTGGAACCGCTGTCATGGGTCTCTGACCAGGGACATCCCAAGCTGACGCAGTAAACGCAGGACATGCCACTGCAAGTGACAGTGCGGGAGGGAGGGCTGCCAATACCGACGTTCCTTTCTAAGCCTATTCAAGTTGGTTCGTTTCGTTACTCGAACTGAGCTTACACGAGGGGACGAATCGAACGCTCCATCGCAGGTTCAAGTTTACCTACATCAAAAGTCAGATCGAGTCAGAGTACGCTGGCTGGTCGTTCATTTTGCAACCTTTCTTATTTATTTTTATTATTTTTCTACACTCCTCTGCGGGTTTAGTCGTTGTATCATTCGTTCCCTCCAAGTGGGAATCGTACCCTATATTTGTCTATATCACGTCTCACTCGTTCCCGTTTCCCGGCATGCGAACCTCCCGGGTCTGGGCCTGGATCGCGCTCGCGACCTCCTGCCCTCTTTCTTCACCGTCCCGTCTCTTCCCCATGTCAGTCTTGCGGACACATGACCCCTTCCCGAGTCCCCAGAGCCCCGATACGCGAGGAGGATCATGAGGGAGAAGCGAAAGCAAGCAGGACAGAGGCATGCCCCGCCCTTGCCGGCATCCGCCGGACCTGATGCCTGTCTCCCCGTCAGCTTCTCTTAGTTCCTGCGGCGCATGTTACGACTGCCAGCCGTATTCATAGTGAAAAAGCTGCGAACAAGATATCACAAGCCGTGATGCGGAAACATGACCGCGAGGAAACCCAAGCCCGTCCACCTGCAGCACTTCCCGGCCGGGGAGCGTGACAGGCCGCAGACGAGTTCAACCCGGGCACCCCCCCTCTATTACTTGCGCAAGATGTCTGTCTACGCCGCGTGGTTCTGTTGCATCGGTGGGCCGGTATTTAGGCCCCTCTGTCACACACACAGGCACGCCGTTCCTCTATATTCCATGTCATTATCTGGGGGGCCGGGCCAAGTTCTCTTCCCGTGTCGGACGAAGCTGAGGCAGAGCGCGGCTGGGCTGCGGATGCGGCATGCAGGAACAGGCGGTCTGCCTCTCCTTCGTCCCGCTGCAGGCCTTGCGCACGGCGCGCACCAAAATGCAACATCTCGAAGCTAGTGTTTTGTTCTGTTGGATCCCCTGGTTTCCTCGTTTCCTTTCGTATTATACATAGGTGTGGCCAGCCCACCCGCCCTTCCGCACCACACACGCTCACACACACACCCCCATATCGGATCCTCGAGAGGTCTGAGTGTCAGACTGGACAGAGATTCACTCTATTTGGTACCTCTTTTTTTCTTTCTTTCTTGAATCTTGAGCCTGTGGCTCATCCACCTCGCTTTTCTTTCGTCTACATGTTCTATTCATACGCACGTGTTGTAAGACCGTGAGCAACACAGTAAAGCGGCGTAGAAGTGTGGACCGAAATGTCGCTCAGATTCTATCAGACACCCGGTCCGGAGCGGCCATGGCGCCCGCCGGTGATGGACGAGGACTGCCGGCGCTACCGCCGCCGAGCAAAGCGGACCGACAAGTGGATTCCGCCCCAGCTTGCTTTTGAAGAAGTGATCAGGAATAACACGGAATCGGTGAGCAAATATCTTCCTGCCGGCGCATGTGTATTCCAAGGGGACGACTGGAAGCTAAGAGGGAAACTTTGACTAACAGCCATGTGTCTGCAGCCATGCTCACTAAACGACTTCGTGGACTATCTTGTCTACGTCGAGCAGGACGCGGAACCGCTGCAATTCTTCCTATGGTACTGCGGTTACGTCCACTCGTGGACGACTCTGGCGCCCGAGCAGCGAGCTCTTGCGCCGCGATGGGATCCGGACCGCGGCAGGAAGCTCACTTCCAAGGAGAGGAGGGCCAAGAACTCGAGTAAAGTGAGCAACATTCTCGAGATGCTCGACGAGGATAGCAGCTACGCCCAGGTCAAAGCGGGAGGGAACCATACGCGGAACACATCTTCGGCGACGAACTTTTCTCACCCTAGAGCAACTGGTCTCAGAGATGGTGAAAAGGAAGAGGTGGAAGAGGGAACAGTACCGCAAGGTAAGATCACCTGTCGAAACGCTGCATGACATGCTAGCCCCCACCACCAGATGTCACCGAATCTCATTCTCACGACTTATACAAACCCAGACCCAAACTCACTAACACCTCTGCCCGCAGCACCAGCATCATCACAGCCCTTCCGCGCAGATATCGACGCCATAACAAAACACTATATTCACGCCGACGCCCCGCGCCGCCTGAACCTCACCAAAGACGACCGCACCGCCGTCCTCAAAGCGACATCCTCGACAACGCACCCGTCCGCCCTCCTCCCGGCCTTTGAAAAAGCAGAGGCCCTGCTCCGCGGGAAGCTCCACCCGGATTTCATCCGACACAGCATGGCCAACGCGAACCGCGCCGCAACGCACCTCCTCCGCCTCCTCGGTCTCGTGCTGCTCACCCTAGGCCTCGGCCTCGACGTCGCCCTCATCCTGTCCTCGTTCTCGCGGTACTACCGCCTCCTCTCCACGCCCATGATCTTTTTTGGTTTAGCGATCCTCGTCGCCGCCCTCGACGGCGTCTCGTTGTCGCTCCACCTCGCGCGCAGACGACACGTGCGGCCGTGGGAGGTCCCGGACCTAGAAGCCGGCAGGGGTGGCAACGGTGCCGGCATGATGCACAAGAACAAGAAGGAGAGGGTCCCCCACCGCCGCGCCGCGACGAGCGAGAGCGTCACGGGCGCCGTCGACCCCCTCCGCAAACCCGCGCTCTCGACGCTCGGCGCGGGGAATTATTCGAGTTTCCGGGGCGAGGAGTGGGTTTCCGCGTACGAGTCCCGGTGGCTGTGGCGGCGCGTGTTCGAGCGCAGCCGGGCGAGCCGGAACAAGCACCTCCGGATCCTGCAGGACGGCGTCGTTGCGGGCGCGGTGTTGTGGGCTTCGTTGGCGACGATTGGGGTTGGTGTTGGGTCGGTTTTTATACCCTCGTATCATTTGTTTTGAACACGGTTTAATGGATGGGTTGATTGGCGGGAGGCATTTACGTTAAGAGGCACACACTTGCATTGATACCATGGGTTCATGACAGTCTTTTCTGGAGTTTGTGTGGAATACCAATGGTTGGCTGGCGATTCAAGCATTGGATATGCGGACTTGCGGGCATCATATAATACAATATCAAGATTTTAATACCAGAACTTTTCATGACCCATACTATCATAGGTAATCGCTAGTGAAGTGCTTCGTCCCATGTGTCTACCGGAAGTAGAAAAGGCAGGAGCAGACAAATTGAGAAATAAACTGGGCTCCAAAAATTCAGCCCAGCCGACCCTTTCTTAATATACACTTTAATCATAGTGGGACGACCGTAGTAAACAAAACGAAGGGGTTAGCAAAAGAATAGATAAAAAGGCAAAAAGCTCAGGTGCCTAATTCGAGACTCGAACTAGACCACCTTACGAAACCCTCCACCTGTACTGGAGTATACGGACTTCTCGAAATTTCATACCAAGTTCGTTACTAACGGACCAGGGCGTTATACCGCTCGACCATGGGGATCGGTTGGGCTTGGTTGACGAAAGAGCGACCTCAGGTGAATATAGAGGCATGGTGGCAAGCGCTGAATCACTGATGCCTGGGTTGGGTGTCTGGTGTATATTCTTGCGTATTCCACGTCCGGTTTCGTTCCATGTTCTGCTAAGGTACCTTGACACCAATCCAGGACCTCTTAAGTCCAATGAAAGATGCGGTAAAAGTTCTCAATTGCTTCAAAAGGTATCGAATTTGATTTTCAACATGGCTAAACGAGGACTTTTTCTTTGCTTTCTACAACTACCTTGCTTTACGGCTTGCCCGCTGCTTGTTGCTGCTGGTCGTAATAAAGCTCCTCTGCCGTCGTTATGCACTGCATATTCGCGCCGAGCTTGTTCATCGTCTCCAACCACTCGTCATATCTAGGCGTCAAGTCAGTGTACAGCTTTCGGGGGGGGGGGGGGGGTGACGGAGGAGAGAAAGATCACTTACTCATCAGAGTCGAATACGATACCGCCGCCTAAGATATCACACGTCAGTCTGCAGAAATATCTCACCACCAAAAGACTCCAAGAAAATGGTGGAAAGGGGATCGGGATAAGGGGCAGTGAACTCACCAGCTTGCAGATACGCCACACCGTCCTTGACAAGCATCGTCCGCAACGCAATACACGTATCCATAGCACCCTCCACCTCCTCGCCCTTCTCATTAACGCCCCCGTACCCGAAATACCCAACCGCACCGGCATAAATCCCCCTCTTCTCCTTCTCGAGCTCAGCAATCAGCTCCATGGCGCGCACTTTGGGAGCACCCGACACCGTGCCCGCCGGGAAGATGCTCCGAAAGGCGTCGAAGCGCGTCTGCCCGGCCCGCAGCACGCCCGAGACCTGCGAGACGAGGTGCTGGACGTGGCTAAACTTCTCAACGACCATGAGGTGGTCCACGCGCACCGTGTACGGGTCGCCGACGCGGTTGACGTCGTTGCGCGCCAGGTCGACGAGCATGACGTGCTCGGCGCGGTCCTTCAGGGAGCTGCGCAGCTCATCGGCGAGGCGCTGGTCTTCCTCGGGCGTCTTGCCGCGTTTCACGGTGCCGGCGATGGGGTGCGTGATGACGCGCCCGGCTTCGGATTTGACGAGGAGCTCCGGGGAGGCGCCGACGATTTGAAAGTCTTTGCAGTTTACGTAGAACAGGTATGGGGAAGGGTTCACTGTCCGGAGGTGACGATAGATGTTGAAGGGGTGGAGGGTCGTCGGACGGGCGAAGCGCTGCGAGGGGACGGCCTGAATGATGTCGCCCTTGACAATGTGCTTCTTGAGCTCCGTGACGTGGGACTCGTAGCCCTGCTGGCCGACGTTGGAGGTGTACTCTTGGCCGAGCTTGATGGGCTGCTGTTCCGGGATGGGGATGTCGGGGGCGTTGAGGACAGCGACGAGCTCGTCAATGGTCTGCGTCGCCTTTTGATACTCGGCCTCGAGCTGGGCCGCGTCCTCGGGGACGTGGAGGTAGGTGATGACCTTCAGGACGCCGTAGAAGCGGTCAAAGGCGACAATGGTATCGAAGAGCATGAACAGAGACTCGGGGATCTGCAGGACGTCCTTCATGGGCCGCGCCGTCTTGGGCTCAAAGTAGCGCACGCAATCGTAGCCCACGTAGCCGACGGCACCGCCCGCCATGGGCGGGAGCTGCAAGCCCGGAACGTGGGCGACTACGTGCTGTGCCAGCTCGGCCTCGAGGGCCGGTAGGGGGTCGCACTCGGGGCCATGACCGGGACCCGTGGCGAGGACTTTGCGGGGGCCGGCGCCGACGAAGCTGTAGCGGCCGACTTGTTCTGTGGCAGCGCTCTCGAAGAGGAAGGAGAAGTCCGAGTCCTTGTGGTGGGCCGAGACCTTGAGGTAGGCGGCGGACGGGGTGATGAGGTCTGAGGAGATTTGGCGGTAGACGGGGACGAGCGTGGGCTTCTTTGCGGCGTTGGTCGTGGCCGGGGAGGTGAGGATGGACCTGACCGTCTCTAGGGACGGTACGACTGCGCGCTGTGAGAGTGGCGGGCGGTATGTTAGCTTGTGCTTCTTGTAGCGGGCCGGCGGAAGGTCAATTGAAGAACTAGCAAGACTTACCGGTCCCGACATTCTGATCCTGTCCGTTGTGGAAGCTGGAAATATGTCGGTGAGGCGCTGCGTGGAGAGCAAGTTGGTGTGTTTGGTTTGTTGATCTGAGTCACCAGCATCCAAAAGATTGGACTTGTATTGAATTATTTAGCCTCCGATGCGTGGAGGGGTCACACATAGTCAGGCAGGGTGGTAGGGTCCGATAACGCGGAATTTGGCTGCCGTTGCGCTTCGATAAGGTGAGAGACAAGGCGTTGCCATTAGTGGCACCTCCGCTGCGTGTGCGTCAAGGATCAGTGACACAACGGGACCCCACTGCCAGCCCATTGCTCCGCCAATCTGGTCTAGATCGATGACCTGAATGAGTAAGAGTCAAGACAGCTCACGTATCCCCGGTAAGGTATGGTAAACGAGCTTGGTCAGAAAGAAGACATGCCTTTTCAGGCGAGGAGTCAGCTATAATTGATGATATTGCTGTACAAACATGAGCTGCGTTTTTGCTACATATAAATCAGTCACCATTCATTGAACCATTAGAGGACCAAGCTGACCGGCTGCCCCATTTCTTCCCGTCCCGCCTCACGTTTCCTAGCGGTTTTCTCTGATGGTACCTGGTCGGAAGTGAAGTTTTCAGCTCTCGACAGACAGCGCCTTGACGCCCACGAGCTTGGCCTCCTTGCCCTTCCCGTCCGTCGTGACGAGCCAGTACTCCGTCCGGACACCGCCCTTTGGCACCTTGTAAACTCTAACGTCGTTGCCCTTGCCCGCCTTGCGGACCGCCTCGATAACGTCCTTGTAATCGCCGTTCGAGTCCCAGTCCACGGGGTCGAGGAGCTCCACGTCCGCGTTCTCGGCGTCGGGGTGATCAATCAGTTGTGCGAACTCGACTACACATGTCATCTATTAGCCACTCCTGTATTGCATACATCACATGCTTTTTTGTCCCCGGGGTGAAAAGGGCAGGAGGCAGGAGGGCGGACACAACTCACCTTCGTCCGGCAGACCTTTACCAGCCTCATCCCACTGCAGCGCGACACCGACAAACGGCTCGTCCGCGTCCGAGTTGTACACCTTGTCCTGCTTCAACACGTCTTTAATGGCCTTGGGCACCTCGACGCCCTTGTCCTGAGCCTTGAACTCCTTGCTCTTGCTGGTCGTGGTGGCGTGCCCCTCGTTGGGGTCCTGGTTCGCCTTGTCCAGAAACGCCGCGTAGTCTGCGTCGGACATTTTCAGATTTGTAAACGTCGAGAACTTGCTGGTAGCTATCTGACAAGTTGGAAGAAGCTTGCTTGTGCTGCAGCTGCTTGGCGCAGGACTCAGCTGTCGTAGTATGAAAGCGTTGCGTGGAGTGGAGGATATCGTCGATGAAGAGAGGCTCCGTTGGCAGAGATTTCGATAGAGCGTTCGCGGGGCAGTAGTCCTCATTCGCTTCTTATGGGTTGCAGAGGAGTTGAATAGCGTACTGAGAGGTGTTGCGGTCGCGAACTTGGTTCGCGGGAAGCTGCACGCCATGGTTGGGTACAGATAGAATGACGCAACGAGGGGCCGGGCTAGCTACGCCTCAAGTCCCTCGCTCGCTGGCCAGACCTCGCCGCCCCACCATCTCGGCATTGGCTGGCTGTCGATGCTAAGCGCCCACATTACTTTTTTGAACGACTTTTGTACTACAGTGGAGGTCCCTCTACAGCGCCTGTTTTCAATGAATTATCTTTCAAGTTGATCACAATTGCAATCACATTTCACAAGCCACACGAGGGATTACAAGTGGGTTGGTCATCTAGGTATCATTGGTTTGACTTTTGAATTCTCGGCACTCATTTTAACCTCAAAGGTGTCCCAAACCATCCGAAAAGTAACGTGAACCCTCTACACCGATGCCATGACCATGATACAAAGAAATTTGATGAGAAGAAGAAATTTACTGAGCAGCAAGGTCCTTCTTGAGGGTACCCTGGTACTGCTTCTTCTCCGCCGGCGTCTGGAAGGCACCGTGTCCGAACTCGGACGAGGTATCGATCCACTTGAGGTCGATCTTCTCGAGGGCCTTTCTCGAGGTGTGGGTGAACATGGACTTGCGGAGAGTCATGACACGCTTCTTGGTACCGGGAATGGAGCCCTTGACCATGACGAAGTCGTTGTTGATCTCACCGTAGCGGACGAAGCCACCGAGGCTGTGAAAATGTCAGTAAAATTGCTAGAAAATACACACGTTAGAGCAGAAACATACGGAGTGATGGTCTTCTTGGTGACATCAATCTCAGTGGAGGCGCTGTTGTCGGAACCGGCCTTGCCAATGCGGTAAACCTTGTGGTTGACGGAAGTACGGTGGTGGTATCCGTTCTGACCGGCACGGGCGACAGTCCACTGGACGTGGGAAGGATGCCAGGCACCGATACAGGCGACCTTACGCAGACCCTTGTGAGTCTTGCGGGGAAGCTTCTTGGTACCCCAACGGGCGGTGACACCCTCGAATCCGTGACCCTTGGTGACGGCGATGACATCGATCATCTCGTCCTGCTCGAAGATGGAGCTAACCTCGACGGGCTTCTCGAACAGACCGTAGCCGAAGTCGACCTTGTCGGCGACGGAGCCACCGTTGATCTGGATCTCCATGAGGTGGGCCTTCTTCTGCTTGATGGGGGTCTTGCGGGGCTGGGTGTGGGCGAGGACGCGGACGACGGTGCAGTACTTCTTGATGCGCTCGATCTCGCGGGTGATGGAGGCGCCAGAGTTCTCGGAGTGCTGCTTGGCGTACTTGGTGAAGGCCTTCTTCTTGGACTTGTACCAGTTCTTGTAGAAGCGGCGGCGGATCTCGTCGCTCAAGTGCTCAGCCCAGACGGTGGTGAGCGAGCGCAGGCCGCGGGGGGTCTCGATGTAGCCCACAAGACCAACAACGATCAACTATAGAGTTGTTAGCCATAGGCACAGAGCCAAGCGGGCTGCGTTGGTAGTACAGGTGGGGTATCAATGATGGAGACGGCCTCGACGACCTCCTTCTTGTTGGCCTTGGCACCGGGACGGTCGAGGTCGCGAACGATCGTGGTCATACCGGCCTTGTAGCCCATGGTGGCCGTCAGGTGGACGGGCTTCTTGGCGTCATCCTTAGGGAAGCTGTGCGAGAGATTGCCATTGTCAGCCTCTGTATTCACTTGGCCGAAGTCTCGAAGAAAGTATTGCGAATAAAAATGGTGAACAAAACTTACGACTTGACCTTTCCGCGGTGACGGGCAGCACGCTTGCGCGGCAGGTAGGCCAAAGACTGGGTAAAGTTAGCCGAAGTTACGGTGATTGTCGAAATAGATGTGACTGACGCCGTGTCTGGGTGCCTCGTACTTGCGGTGCGACATCTTGATGATTGACCTGGAAGTTAGTTGTCGGGTTCAATCGAGAGGAGTGACGATTGGGAAATTTCTCAAAGTCGGGATAGCTGAGGCTGCAAAAATGTCGTGTGGGCGGATTTCCTCCTGCCAGGACGCACCACCCTAATCACGTGAGCGCAATCGCTACGAAAAAAAAAACCACTTTCCGCACTTTTTCTTCCCGCCTGGTCCAAGCGTTTTTTCCCGGGGTCCACAATTACCTTAGGTCTTCCAGTGCAAAGGGAAGGTACGTACCTGAAGACTGGATTGCGTCCCAGCAGGGGAGCACGCCAAACACTTGGGGTCCCGTCTCCAGCAATCATACGATGCAGAACTTTTCTGATTACACGATCATTCGCCCCTGAAGATGGTCAATCGGTCGCGATACGTTAAGCCAAATATGGTTCAATATTGTTTAGTCATTCAAGCAGTCTAGATTCACCACTACTTTTTCTCTTCATAAGCTACCGTAGTGCCTTAGATAGACACACCGGCATCCCGTTGAAAGGGGATTCTGAGACAGAACGAGGGAGGGAAGGAAATGGTATACACGATAAGAGAACACAGTATCCCTCAAGACAAATAAAACAAAGCAAACCACGTCAAAGCCGTTGATCCATTAAGTCGACTCAACCTTGGGAGTAGGCCCCATCAAGCCGTTGATGCTTGCGCTCGTGGGCGTCTTAGTCTCCCCCGACACCGGAGCCGGGCCCGACCCGTTGGTAGTGGCGACGGCGCCCTTCTTCTCGTCCTCGCCGCTATCGTCGTAGTCCTCATCAACGTCCATCTTTCTCGCGGCACGTTCGGGCTCGCTGGGCTGCGGGGGCCGGGGAGCAGGGGTGTGTTCAATAGGCGGGCGCTCCTCAGCGGGATACTCCTTGACGCCGGGAGCGGGCCCGGAAGCAGGCCCGGGTCCGTTCTGCGGTCCGTCATGGAGGATGTTCTGCATCGGCGCAGCGGCAGACTGCATCGGCGGGAGATGGTTAGTGGGCATAGGGTGGTTGGGTTGGTGGTGCGCGGCCTCTGACGGGTGGTACCCGTCGTTGGCATGGCGCTGCTCCTCGCCCCTCCGAATGTCCTCTGCCCTTCTCTGGTCATCCGCTCTGCGCTGGTCTTCGGCACGGCGTTGATCCTCAAAACGGCGAGCCTCTGACGAGTTGCGACGGTACTGATCCCGGGGTCCCGGAGGAGTCGACGGGCGGCGAGAGCGGACGTCGTCGAGCCTGGCTCGGTTCTCGTCGTTGGCAGGTCGCTTGTGAGAGGACTCCTCCTCCCACTCACGCATGCGCTTGGGGCCAACAGAGGGAGGACGGTCATGCTCATTGCGCTGCGATGCAGGGTCTCCAGTGATCGAGCCCGGAGGAGGTGGAGGCGGGGCATTGGCCTCCATGGGTCCGGGGGTGGGGCCATCAGGGTGATGGCTGTACGGCGGCGGCGGAGGAGGCTGGTGTTGGGGGTACGCCGACTTGGGGGAGGGCATGCGGTTGTCATGCATGGGCCTCTCGCCGGGCCGGGGACTGTTGGTGCCGCGGAAGTGAGGCGGCTGGCTAGGAGGGCCATTGGGACCGACGTTCATAGGGGGCATCTGAGCAGAAGACGGCTGAGTGTAGTTAGGATTGATGGTGCGCGGCGCAGACGTGGGAGGACCCTGAGGCTGCTGAGGCGGCTGCGGCGGTCCTGCGTAGTGAGATGGCGGACTAGCCATCCGACGAAGCGGCTCGGGATACGGCGGGCGACCACCGTGTTGTTGTTGTTGTTGCTGCTGCTGCTGTTGTTGCTGCTGCTGCTCCTGTCTCGGGCTAGGCTGTCGCGGCATGGGAGGAGCTGGGCCACGGAACTCGCCACGCTGCTCATACGGGTTGGGTGGCTGAGGAGGAGGGTTGATGTCCGCAAGCCGACCCCAGCCGTTGCTTCCAGGACCGCCGGGTCCAGGAGGCGGAGGAGGCTGCTGTCCCTGCTGCTGCGACTGAGGAGCAGAGCTTCCCCACTGGGGAGCCGGGGGGCCGACCTGGTAAGCCTGGGGATGAACATCGGCAGGCTGAGGAGCGCTAGGAGGCTGTCCTCCGTTGGCGCCGCCGTTTCTCAGCAACTGCAAACGAGCCTTAATGTGGGGGTTCTGAGGGTCAAGCTCTGCAGCGCGCTGGTAGGCGTCAAGCGCATCGCTGATCTGGTTGTTACAAGATTCGTACTAGGTCGGTTAGTAAAGCTGCCTTTTTTCTAGCTGCCCGATCTTTGTAGGTCTTGTACTTACCAATGTGCCCAAGTCATACCAGACCTCGGAAATGAAGGGGTTGAGCCGGATGGCACGAGAGTAAGCGTCGAGGGCATCGCGGTATTGGTTGATCTGGTAGTACAATACTCCGATAGAGCACCAGAAAGTCGGATTCCTTCCATCGCGGTAAACGGCCTGTTGGTATGCTTCGTATGCCTTGGGGTACTTTTGTTGAGACATGTAGCAGCGACCAAGAAGGTACCAGCTTTGCGCGTCGCCTTGGTCGGCGGCAACGGACTTCTCCAAGAACTCGATAGCTCGCTCTTGGCTCTGGAAGCTGCTGCTCTGCTGATGATGAAGCCAGCCCAGCTGTTGCAGGACCTTTGCGTGACTAGGATCACGTTCCAGAACTCTCTGGTACGCTGCCTTGGCACTATCGTACTGATGCGAGCGTTAGCTGAGGTGTTTATCAATTGCCGATAAGTAGTTACTTACATCCTTCTGCTGCTCGTGAACGTGGCCGATTTGGAACCAAATATCCTCTTCGGTGAGAGGAGGGGGCGGGGAGTTGACGATGTACTTGAAGCACTCTAGACTCTGACCGTACTTTTGCTGCTGCTTGTATATTATTCCGAGACGGAAGTAGATTTCGTTGGCCTTTTCGAAATCCGGCTGCATCTGCATAACCTGAGAAAAGGCCTCTTCGGCATGCTCAAGAGAGCCGTATCTGTCGTAAAGGATACCAATGCCATACCATAGCTTGGGCTCCTGTGCTGTATTAGTATTTGAAGAACCCAGAGAGCCGGAGGCAGCGCTACTAACCCTGGGGCTCCTCAAGTTGACCAAGGCAGACTGGTATGCGGCGTAGGCTTGCTGCAAGTCGTCCATCATAAGGTAGCAGTGACCTGTGAGCAGTTAGCACGAGTCGCGTTGATTGAGTATAGGGCGGGGGCTTATTACGCACCCAGGCTGCCCCAGGCCTCGCCATTGGTATTGTCGATTTTGAGTATTGCTTGCAGATAGTCAACTGCCTTGTGAAACTCTTCGCGCGTTCGCAGGATCAAACTGATGGCATTCATTGCCGCGACCGACTGCGGGTTTGCTTGGAGGGCGCGATCGTAAGCCTTCATTGCCTCCTCGAGATTTCCAAGGAGTTCAGCGAAACTGCCTGTGATAATTGTTAGAACTTGCTGCGCGTATCAACGATCGCGATGCACTTACCAATCTGCATCCAGACAGCTTCGTTCATGAGGAGGATTTGTCGCGAAGGTGCATAGTTCTGCCCTTGCTGCATACCCGGCGGCGGAGGGGGTCCAGGGGGGCCGCCATGCTGCTGCCCCTGCATGGCCATGGTCGGCGAAGGGTGATGGTTGGCCATTGTGTTGGGAGTTGAGGCGTACTAGGTGTGCGCTTGCTCCTGTGAATGCGTCGACGGATTGTCTTGATGATTGCGCAAAGAGGCGCTAGATGCTGCCAACAACGACGTCGCAATTATAAAAGGTAGTTTTACTTGGAGAAAGATTGAAGACTAGAGGCGCGAGGCCATGAAGTCTTTGATCTTGTCTGTAGTGGTTGAAAAACAGCTCGCGGCTTCCAAGGGCGCGGGCGCGGTTGTTGCGACGAATCGAACGGATTGAGGTTCGACGTGCAACCGGTCAACGGGAGGCTGGGCGAGAAAGTCTGGAGCGGCGACACGCCAAAAGCTACAGAAAAGCCAAACAAGAAGAGGATGATGATGCGGGTGATGGGGAAGGGCGCAGAAAGCGCTCAAGACAAGACAATGATGATGTTGTGTGAGTAAGGAAGGGATGCGAGACCCGACAGCGATGGATCGAAGCGCCGCCGTTGTAGCTCAGGGCGAAGTTGGGGAATTGGAAAAGAAGGTGAGAGGGAAGTTGGGAGGCTGCGAGAATAGGTTCCATCACTCTCGCAAACTCACCTAACCCTCGAAAAGTACGTACTCTTTTACCCTTCCGTTCCTTTTCTTTTACTTTGGCGACGGCATGGGGTGCGGCAGAGCTGATCCATAGCGAGCGAAACGAGACGATGGGGACCAGGGGTGTGGATGGGTGTCTCATTAGGGTGCATGCTGCTGCCGGGGTGAAAGACGGGGCACGGATGGAGAACAAGCCAGCCCATCTCATCTGAAAAAGCAACTTGGCTAGCGTCCCTTTAGCTGGAGCCGATACCCACGGTGCCACACCCACACCCACGCTTCTTCTTCTTCTTCTTCTCACGCTTCACCTATGGATGCTCATGCTCACGCTCACGCCCATCCGCCCAGCCCATCCATGCCCATGTTCTTCTCCCCCCGTCGTCCACAACCACAACCACAACCACGGCCACGTCCATACCTATCCTATCCACGCCGTCTGCCAGGCTCAGGTACGGAGTACAAAGTATTTTGTACCTTACTCCGTACATACATTCAGATTTCATGGAGGCGGGCGGCGGTCACTCCCACTGAACGCAATGTCGCACCTCATCCCTCCCTCTTCCCCTCCTCTATTCGTACGGATACTTCCCAAGCTGCCATGGGTCATGGTTACCTTTCGCTGAAGGCATCCATCCATCCGCCTCTTGGTTGCTTGCTTGGTGCTTGGCTCCTGCAGCTCCGAAATGGGGAGCAGAGAGGTGGATAATGTACATTGGCGTATGGAGACGTCGACCTCACTGCGGAAATCTGTAGTAAAGATGTGGGTGCGAATGATTCCTCTGTGAGTCTAGCGAAACACATCTTGCAGATACACCCGACCCCTCCCCTTTTTTTTTCTTCTCATTGCTCCTGCAAAGTACGAGTCGGCAGCTCGGCGCGCTTTGCTTCGTTTGTCATCAGATGCACCAAGACGTGAGATGGCCCCAGAAACCAGAGCCAGAGCCAGAGCCAGAGCCATGTGCCATGTGCCATAACAAAAGCAGTCCAGCTCCAAGGTAGCTGACATTTCCGAGGTTAATTGCACAGGACACTGGTGAGCCGCCTTCGAGAAGGTATCGTGTGGTCAACTGTTGTTTAGACTCTCTCTCAAACTTGGCGGTGCGGCGGCTTTCAGTGGGACCCAACTCACGCGTCAAATCAACAAGAGCTCAGGCCTGCCATGATGCCAAGGCATCATCAAACCTTGCTCCCCAATGGCGTTGCAAGCCCATCGATAATCCGACAAAATCCGAGGCAAGCTTCCAACGAGCCTAACGAGACCTCGAAATCGACTGAGACTGTCTGCCATCATAAAAACGCACTCAGATGGAAGCGTCGCATACTGCTGCGTAACGCGATGCAGGACCATGCTTCGTGAGGGTTGATGCCTTTCCTTCACTATCATGTTTCTGCATTGTGTGCCAGGATAGAGACACGGTGCGATCCGGCGGTATTGCATGTTGTGGTAGCCCAGAAACAGAGGAAGCGGACGGAAGAAGTGCGCTGGTATCCTCCGTTTGACGCCCTGTGATTCTGCATCTTTAGAGCTAACAATTGTTGTAGCTGCACTCTGAGGCATGCCCCATCGAGGGATCTACGGACAAGGAATGTCAGCGACCGTCCAGTTGGACATGCCATTCGCAGCCAGTTTGAAACAAGAGACAGCCATGTCGCATCGCATCGCGGCGCCATCCCCTCTGATCACTCCCAGTCACTGTGGCGGAAGAACACCGAGGGTATGGGTCTTGACGGGTTTGCCTGAGGCAAATGCTCAAGCCAGCGAGCACCATGGTACATGGCCATAGATAATCAGACAGCTCTCCAGTGCTCCGTTCGGTGTCGTGACCAACAAGCTTCTGGTCATAATTCTACTGCATAATAAAGGTGGGCGAAGACTGAAGTCGACGAGTACGCAGGAGATCAACCGAAACGCCTGTCAGAGAAGGGAGCAAACTATCAGAAACAAAACAATAAAGAAGAGAGCGCGACGCACCGAAATAATAAAGATAATGGAACAATCCCCCCAGAAAAGGGGGAAACGCTGCGGTTGAAGGCCGCCGCCGCTAAGCTGCATTACGGCACATCCCACGTGTCTGGAGTTCCAGGTGGTCACCTCATCGTTCACCTCAGGTCAGGCCCAGGGAGGTTAATATTCACCGATGGGTACGGATACGTAGCCCTTCCCAGCCCTTCCCCGGGGAAGCGCCCCCTGAGAAGACGGGAGGTACCATCCATCCATCCACCCACCCACCCATCAAACTCCGAGTCTGAGTCCAGCTCTATAGTGCCACTGGTGTGTCTGGCCGCCCGGGCTGGCTGGCTGACTGAGCTGGGCTGGGCTAGGCTGTGCCCAGGGCAGGTGAGTGCATGGCTGGCGACCCCCCCCCTCCTCTCCGAGCTCCAAGATCCTGATCGGTGGAGTGGATCGCACCGTCGAAGAAATGCCAGAAGCCAAAACCAACACAAGAAAAGACGAACTTTGAGTTTGGTTCATGTCATCGCTGCAACCGCTGCACCCGTCCACTCAGGACGCCGATGTGACTTCATCCGTGCCGCAACTGCTCGCTAGTCAGTCGCAAATTACCTTACCTTCCCTGGGAGTTTCCCACCCTTCTTTCGCGCGGGCTGGTGTTCCTGTCGCTGGCGTTCTGGCTGGCATGTTGCCTTCTCCCGTCACCCTTCAGGCACCACACTTGCATTCCTTATTCCTCGGCCCCCTCCCCCCGGTTGAGATCTTCGGTTTCAGCGCCTGATGATCGGGATGGGCTTGGTGGTTCGTCGGCTTCTTCGAAACTACCGTACCGAATGAGCCTGTGGGCGAGCTATTTGGTCTGTTGTCTTTGATTTTGTGTCGCACCAGACTTCGCAGTCATTGAATAGGCTCCAGCCCGCAATCTGCAAAGATCGTGGTGGATCGGTGGTTGAGTCCAGCAGAAAAAAGCTTCTCGATACGAAGCTATCGTCAGTTGGCGGCGCAGTGGCCGGGCCCCCTCACTTCTTCAGTTGGACTGGTTTGAGCAGGTGGTGCACGATGTTTTTTCTTTTTTTTTCTCTCCTGCGGTGCGGTACACGCTACGCTAGCCAGCGGACAGAAATGATGAACTATTCGTAGACGTATCCGTAGGTAGTCGTACGCTATTGTGTAGGTAGTAGTGCTCTCGTGCGCGTGTGGACCAAGCCGCAGATACAGGATACACACATGACGCGAGTGCACCTGTGGGCTCTGCTTGAGACCTGCAAATAGCTCGATGGGATCCGGTCGCCGCCGCCATCGCCGCCAGGCTGGAGGGGGATCATGGCTAGATTAGGCAGAGTGGGGAGGGAAGGCCGGAGGCTTACCTGAGGTGTCCTCGGAGAGGAGAGGAGAGGAGGGGAGGTTCCGTCAGGGGTCAAGGTGTGAGAGGAGAATTGCGACAGCAACCAAGTGAAGGGGGGCGTCTGCGTCTGTCTCTATGCCCGTAGCAGGGGGGTGTAGATGGGGTTGCCTGCCGTTCCCCCAACCCTTGGCTTGGACCAGGCAGAGAGAGATTGTGTGCGTAGCCAGGCTGTACCGCAATATGTACGTGCAAGGTAGGCGGAGGAAGGATGCAGCCATCTCTCGCATATGCACGCCGTTTGGAGCAGTGCGAGGGTACCCGACTGACGGCGGCGTCAAGCGGAAGGGATGGGGAAGAGAGATACTGTAATGTGTGGGCGTACACGCTGTGCCGATGTGCGTGTGCGTGTGTGCGTCGGATGTATATGTGTGTGTGTGTATGTGCGCGCGTGCGGGAGTGTGTGGTGTGGAAGAGATGGTGACGGTATCACGGTGGGAGAGGGAGCAGGGCGAAGTGAGAATTGATTCGGGAGAGAGGCGGTGATCTGGTGCTGAGATGGGCGAGAGAAAGAGGTAGGTGCTCTGTGCGAATACCTACTCCGTAGGTAGCGAGGATCAGAAACCTTGCGGCAAATAAGGCTGGGAAGGATATAGTACCTTATCCGCGCTCCGTACAGAGTAAGGTAAGGTACGTGATTGTGAGGACAGGCTGGATAAGCAATGGATAAGGTACCGGGGGACGGGCTGCCAAAGTCCGTCCCAGGCAGTTATATTAGTACTTGCGGTTACCTTGGGAAGGCACGCAGAGGATGAATCGTGGCACGATAGATCATGGAAGTCAGGATTGGGAGTCACTAGGAGAATCGGAGGGAAAGCGCATAGGTCTCGAGGTGTTTTGTCAATCGTAATCTATCTACCTCGATAGATTGAGGTGGTTTGTGGAAGGTACACACGCGAAGGCCACAGAGGGAGAAACAGCAAGAGAGAGAGAGAGTCGGGAGGTGCCTCTGCGGCGGCAGGAATACGTATCGAGGCTACGTGCATACTTGGTGCCTCCCGCCCAACCCGTCGAACCTGACGTACCGCCGCGGAGACTGATCTGACTCCTTGGCGTTAGCCGTCGTGTGCTACTGGTACGTACTGGCAA